GAATTGAATTGAATTGAAAATGTTTGATAATTGATCATCTTGCTGCTGTACATTAAGATTTTGTAATAATCCACCATATCAGACTTGTGTTGAAATCCTAAATAAATCATCATTTGGGGAAAATAATCAGGAGAGCCTCTCCTTCATCTAAGTGGTGTTCCTCAATTAAAATGTTTTTAAAAGTTTGAACACCACGCGTCATTCAGAGTTCAATAGCTACAACTCTTTGAAAAGCAAGTCTATATGCAAAAACTCCCAAAATAGAAAAAAAATGAATAACTTCAACAGTATACAGTTTTCCATAGAGGGTTTCAAGTTCATATTTATTTATTTCTCTCAACAGAACCCAAGTGACAATCAGAATACAGTACTTTTTTCCTCAAACATGTTTTTTCCTTTTCTTTTTTATTACGCAAAACAAGAGAACACTCAGTGCAATAAGACAGAGGACTCTGACAGTGCGGTGCTCTCTCTACCTTTTCACAGTGCACGTTTATACACACAAGAAGATTGTACATCATCATTATTACATTTCCAACCTCCACCCACCAACATCATGGATAGGGCAAAGTGAATGTCTTAAAACAATCATTTTTAAAGATTCAACTTGCATACAGTGTAGCTTGGCACACAAAAACACACACAGCTCTCTCCCTCACACACACATACAGGTACAACACAGAGGGACCTCTGTAGCATTAATTCTCACCAGAGAGGGGGGTACTGCACTTGCACTCCACTCGGAGGGCTATCTCATTTGTCAAACCCATACTATTTTGGCAATGTCAACATTGCATTTTAATGTGCTAAAGAGAACCAATTTAGATGATGTAAGTAGGAGTTTGAGGTAGAGGGAGAGAGCAGGGGGGAGAGGGACATGTATGCAATCAGCCTGATTAAATGTAATAGAATATGATGAGTAGTGCAGGTTTTATTTTTTATTTTTTTTTACAAAGCCTAAAAGATTTATAGGCCGGTGTGCAACCCCTGTCTGCTTGACCGGGTAGAGCTGTTGCCATATTATAGGTCCTTATATGATTTGTTCTCTAAAATGGTTGCCAGCCAATTGAATTGGGAATATTGTCAGAGACAACCAATCATCGATGACTGCATGTCGCACACAGCCAGCCTCCTGAGGCTTTACCTCCCCGCCAATAAATTAAAACTTAGATGGCAGAGCTACCTTTAACATTTTCAAAAAAATATATATAAGCATAATCTTGAAAGTTATTTCTTAAGCAAGTGCATATGGCTATTATAATCTGCAGTAAAATTAAGAAATGTTCTAAAAGCTCAGGTGTTGATTGTACGGGCTGGTCGTTGGAATAAAGTATTTACACTGTGTCATGGTGCTTGCAGTGTGCATGGCAAAGTAAGGGCGCTGGTACTTGCCAGCTATTGCCACCAACCCCATTTCAAAAAAACAACTCTCCAAAGTGCAACCACACCCATATCTCGCTTTAACAGGCTTTGGCTGTTTTTGTAAATTATACTGTTAATAATGTATGTTCTAATTTACTACCTCCCCAACCCACCCTCATAGTGTATTTTAGAATTCAGCAGAAACATTTCACACTTTCTCTGTCCTCTACAATATGCCAGCCAACAGGTTTTCCTATAAAACGATTGAACTGCTTCAAAAGGCTTTGACGTAGTGACTACACAGCTTCTTACTGTAATATACAAACTGAAGCACACGAAGTTTCCTGTTTGTGTTCTAGGATTAACTGTTGTACATTCTAGAACATACTGGACCAGGCATGGAGGGCGCTGGAATCTAAAGCACGTTGACGTTAACTCCTCAACTTACAATACAACAGTGAAAATGTAAAGTAATATATAGACAGAATTGGATAGTCCATTCATTTTAGTGCTTTTTAGCACAAAAAAAGAGTTGGGCATAAGAAAATTATGCTACTACAGTACAAGTATTGATAGATTATGCTTTCAAATGTAAAAGAACCGAAACAAAAAAATAACATAAAAACAAACATTAGATTGCATCTACATCTACTATACATCATTTAAGCTGTTTTTTAATCCCCATCTCATTTAGAAAATATCTATTCATCAAATATCTATGCTACTAATTATATTACAAGAATCCAATCACGGGAAATAGAAAAATATCAAATATCACCAGTGATGATAAGAAAACATGACAACCTGAACGAGCAGAAATATTGCTATGGTAACCACCATTGTCCTTTGACATCAGCGAGAATCATCTCCCGGTGCTCTTATTGGCTGTCCTGACGCCTCCTGATGTTGCAGGGAAGAATCAGCACAACCCAGAGGAAAGAGGGAGCGGGTAATTGGGGGTTGTGTGGCAGGGAGGTGTAAGTGTGTCGTTACTGTCAGATGGCAGTGTCCCAGAACACAGTTGTCTGTGTAGGATAAGGGGGAGGACGGATCTTTTTGCCCCCGCTGCTTTTCCCCCAGCCTGGGAGGACAGATGCACTTTCTTGCTTGCACTGACTCCGCTCCTGGTGCCTGTCCTCGTTCCTGTCCGGAGGAGGAGGCCTCTCCAGAGATCTCTGTAGGTGTGGATGTTGTCTGGAGCGGATCTCCATGCAGAGGGTGCGTTTCCTCTCGATCTGTTCCAGCATGGTGGTGTCTCCACAGATCCACGGCATCTGGGGCATCTGAAGGGCAGAGTCAATGCATTAAGTGAAGCAAATACAACTCAACTTCAAAGTTAGTTGCACATTTTAAAGCCTCTAAAACTTAGCTCTTAAGTATTTCTCTACAACACTGTTAATGACTAAATAAGCACTGAAATGTCTCTAGTGAAATTGAAAACTCTTCTAACTTGCGTGTTAGTAGTTATTAGTCAGAAATTGATTGAAACGGTTAGTTTTCAGGGCCTGCAACAGGCTTAGAAGTTAAGAGCTAAGACAAACAGGCAAATCTGCATACCTGACTTTGTTGTGTCTCTGCTGCTCTCCTTTGTGGGGTTCCCATTGGGGAGGGGTTAGCAGGCATAGAAGGTGAGCGGCTATACTTAGGTGCTGCTTTCACATCTACAAAGAGAGGAACGTAAAGGAATAAGAAGAGTTAAATGCATTTTAGCCGGATGTTTTCTTTAACATACGCAAATGTTATCTGAGAAATAGAGGATTCTTTTATGAATAAGAGATCTACAGCCTCACCATTTCCTGTTCCCATGTTCATTGGTGGGCTACCCGATGATCTTCCGTGGTGAGTAGGTGTCGTTGTGGATGAAAGCTGCCCTAACCCTGTGCTGCCATTCCTCTCTTGTGCTTTTGATTGGTCCATGCTGTAATTGACTCTCGTCTTATCTCGTCTGGGCGTGCCATCCGATCGGTATCCTCGTTCTTTATTGTCACACCTATACTCCATTGCAGAAGGGCTCTTTGTGCTCTTGACATCATAATGATGCTGCTCTGAGCCATTCAAGCTTCTGTCCTTGCTGTCACGTCTCACTTCGAGTCCAGTTCGGCTCAGATCTTTACTGTCCTGCCTGGGCAGGGGAGGAGGAGGAAGATCTCCTCCGTTGTGGCAGCTCCGATCTCTCCCCTCGTGCTTGGATTCCGAGCCGTAGCCAACCCTGTCCTTGCTGTTGCTGCTTCTGGACGTTTCTTGTCGGGGTATGATCTCAGGTGGCTGGTCTATTCTACCTTCATGTCTATGTTCCATGTCGTTTCTTACCCTCTCTTTGCCATCCTGCTGGGCTAACAAATCAGGACGATGGTCTTTCTTTTCTGCTCCAGTTCTGGGTCTGTCTTTGCTTTCTTGTCTGGGTAGAAGCTCAGGTGGCCTGTCTCTGCTTTCATGCTTTGAGTCCACACCGTTCCTGACTCTCTCTTTGCTATCCTGTCGTGGTAAGAGCTCAGGTGGCTGATCCAGCAGTCTCTCTCTGCTTTCCTGTCTAAAGTCTACACTGTTTCTTGCCCTTTCCTTGCTGTCTTGTCTTGGTAACAGCTCAGGTGGCTGATCTAGCAGTCTCTCTCTGTCTTTGCTGTCCTGTCTCAACAAAGACTCCATTCCATGTCCGGCGCTCCGATCTTTGCTGTCTCTCCTAGGCATCAGGTCACCATTACTAATGCCTCTGTCCTTGGAGTCTCTTCTTATCAATGAGATCGGCTCTATGCTGATGCAGCCTTGGTCCCTGCTGTCCCTGCTGTCCCTGCGAACAGGTGGTGCATCTACACCGCTACAAGTACGGTCTTTGCTGTTGCGTCTGTGGGGCAGTGGCTCTACATTGCTGCTCCCTCTTTCTCTGTCTTTATCTCTGTCTTTGTCTCTGTGTTTGTCTCTGTCTTTGTCTCTGTCTTTGTCTTTGTCTTTGTCTCTGTCTCTCCGGTGAGAGGACTCTTTGCTGTGGCGATCCTTGTCTCGCTTGGACTCCTTGCCGTGACTGTGGCGCTCCTTGCCTTCACGCTTGGAATCACTGTGAGACTTGCTTTTGGAATCCGCTGTAAAAGAACCGGAAGAAAAAGTCAGAACACAAACACTTAAAAGCTACATCCAAACTTATTCTGCTGTAGTGGATAATGCATTGAAAATATGACTAATAACCAGCTGATACATAATGTAATTTACTCAAAATATGGTAGTAAACTAGATTAACTGTTTAAACATAAAAGAAAATACAGAAGAAATACTAAATTTCTGCTTCAAATGTCTGCATTACCACATATATCCTCTAGGTGTCACTCAATATTCACTGAGGCAGCTGCAGTAAACCACTGGAGTTAGATGAGTCAGTATGTGGGCTAACAGGCATTGCAATTATGTTCATCCTGGTATATAATAATACACACTATCATTAGCTTAAATTTTTTTAGTACAACCAATTTAATTGTTTGTATTTTTTCATTGTACTTATTCTTTCACCTTAAAGTCTACAAAATAATACACATGATGTTACTATAAAACAACCATGGGTACCAATGCAAAACATAAGTAGAACATGAACCACCACCATCAGATAGGTCTGTGTTTAAATTTTGAATTTCTTCCTGCTCTTCTTAACCATGTATACATATAATATTCCAGCCTGTGAGCATTGCAAATGGGGAAATAGGGAAGCGTATGTATGTCACTGATTCAATGCTCAATAAAGACATTATAGATCATCACTGCGCAAATAAAAAATGTATGTGCATGATTGATTTCCATGTAGGCTGTTCCTCTATATATTTTCTATACGGGCTTTAACATACAGTACCATGCACAAGCATCCCTTGTCATGCCCATCCCTTATCATGTCATGCGTCATACATGGTTTTTAGTGTGTGTGCATATATGCATGTGTGTGTGTGCATGAGAGCTAGTGTGGCGATTAACCGGTTGGTAAGTGGGTCAGATTAGCTGTTGCTGCCTCAGAAAGGGAGAGAGAAAAAATTAACCTCCATTCATTGTGTTAGGTTTGTATGCTCATTACGCCGTGTGTGCTTGTAGCCAGTCACGGGGCAACGCACACAACCTGTCAGTCCTTTAGCCCCATGTGGCGCTCGCACACAGGTGTTGGGATAAAAATATAAATAATTTAAAAAGACCTGTCAGAACTGCCCACCATAGATGTATAGAAAGCATATGCAAACTGTTTACAAACCATATGGGGTTAGAGAACATAATACTGTCAAAGGGCTCATTGGTAAGACATCACAGGGAATTCCTGGCACCTGAATGCAGCCCTTGACAAGCTAACCATCACTAAATGTAGGCCAATGAGACACGAAATTCACAGCATTGAATAGCAAATGTGCACCAACTGGCAGATGTAAATACGCTCAGTGGAGGATGTATTTGTCATGGAAGTCAAAATAGCAAGAAGTCATAAATTGTCTCAGCTTCCACTATCCCCATATGCACAGCTGCCACAGCAACCTGATTGGCTTAATCACAAGTAGAGTATGCGCTGATTGGACAGAAAAGAGAATCTGAAATCCTCTGATCAGGTGTAGATTTGAGTTCAGAGCCGTAGCTATTCCCCATCAGGAGCTCATTGCTCCGTTGTAGACTGGCATGCCCTAAGCTGTGATTGGCTGCATTACCCATGGGGAGGGAATCTGCAAATAAGAAACAGGGATTTCTCCTCCTTTCACTGTTGCTATGTTGTAGTTGCTAAGAGCGAGTAAGGATGCATGTGTGGACTCTTTTTTTCTTTTATGATTTATGTACCAAATTTGCTTGAATAAATCTGCTTTAGAGCATTCAATTAAGGGTTTTAGTTCATTTTTTCAGTGTACAGCTCAGCTTTGAAGAGGACGCAGCATTGGAATTATATGTCAACTATAGGATTACGTGTCATGTCAAACCTCACTCTAAATCATTAGATACTCTATATTAATTTATTAGTGACCCTTTTAAAATAATGCATGATAGGCCTTTGCATAAACTACACTATCCTTCATGCATTTATGAAACACCCTCTTGCTTATTTAGTTTGGTTTAAAGCCTGCAGTCATCAATCTCTTGTTGATTTACATTATATTTCAAAATATTTAGGCTTAAAATGGCTATTTTAGCAGAAAAGTAATGGTTGCATTCTACATGAGATCAATAATGTTGATTTGTGACTGATGCTGCTGGCACCAGACTCACAATGTGACAACACACGATTCATGGAATCATGGATTATGTGTTAACTTGGGCTATACTATACTATGCATGATTTGTGCATGAGGGTGATTCATCACTACCTCACTTTAATAAAGATACTGCTACGGCAGCACAATATCATTAACTTCAGATTAGAAAATATACATAAAATAAACTTTCTAGTCCCAGTCAGTCTGTGGACTGATTATTCATTTCTCAGTTTTTTTATTCAGCATACTATGCGTCACGATCAGTCCACGTAAGTGAGCTCCCCCGAAAGCCATGGTAGAGTTCGCACACCGATTATAAGCAAATTGTGTTTTCCTTCACAGTTGCATTAGTTTTGGCAGAGCCGTGAGTGTGGCATGGTTATTATCTGTATTTAAACATGATGTTTACATATTTAAAAGTAATGCTGCCTGATGGCCTAATGCCATGAGTAGGTTTGAGGGACCTGCTGTCCGCTTTAGTCTCTAATCCCCTCAGATTAAATCATACGATCTGTATCAGACTTGGCTTGCTGGTCCTAGATTAAACAAATGGATGTTTGCAGGGAGTGCCACAAACACCATGCATGGCACTGTAAAAGTGATGCATTCTCTGCCACAGCCTCCTAATTTGGCAGGTTAAACTTGGTAACCCAAAAGAGGGATAAATTACACTGTTACTGATTAGGCAACTGGAGACTACTTATTTGTGTTTGTTCCAGAGTTTACTGAAGCCACATTTTGACACTGACATGATATGAGCACATGTGTTTGTGCCCTTTGCTACACTACGTTCCACGATGAGGCAGATGTGTGGAATGACTCACTCTCTCCAGGCTCTTTAGACTTCCTGCCACTGGCATTTTTCTTCAGCATGTTCCTGCCTGTGGTGAACAGGTTGGTTAGTTCATCTAGCGGGCTGGTGGGTGTCCGTGAACGCCCTGTTGACACATTCTGCATAGAGCCATGAAGTCGACCCACACCGTCTTGAGGTGGTGAGCCTTTGCCGTGAGGGGTGGCAGAGGCGCTCCGCGGCAGACCTCCGGGGAATGGCATAGAAGCGTCAAAGGGAGGCGTACGCATGAGGCTGAGAGGGGTGAGGCAGCGGCCCATGCTGACCGGCGATGGACAAGCAGAGTGGCTGCGCTGATAGGAGGATGAGGAGGAGGATTTGTAGAGGGTGCAGGGTAGAGGGGGCGCAGAGGAGCGGCCAGATACAGTGAGGGTTGGGGTGGCAGTGAGCTCCCTGCGGATGTGTGCAGATGAGGGTGGCTCGGTGGAGGATGTTGGGGATTTGCTGTAGGACTGGTTCTCCAGCATGGGCAATTTGGTTACATCTAGAGGGGTGAGGGGAGACTCGTCTGAGTTGGGCGAGCACTGGGCTGGCGCCGGTGGGAAGACCAGCAGCGGAGGCCGATGGGTTAGCAAATTGGGAAAGGGTGCAGGAATGTCACAGAGGGGAATGTTTCGAGGTGTGGAGCAGCGACTGAGAGGTTCAGGGTCATAGGGTGCCGGGGTGGGGCATGCGGAGCGACAACCCACAGGGTCAGTGCGGTACTCCATATCATCCAGAGCTGGGTACTTCATCTCCTCGTACACAGACTCTCCTGGCTCCTCGTCCTCACTCTTCAGGGGTTCTCGTGATCCGACATCAATCCCGCCCATCTCTATGTAGACAGGTTCATCTTCACAGTCGTCTGTAGGGCTCTCATCACTCTGTGGTGGCGAGGGGTTGCGTTCGCAGGGGGAAGTGACATGGTGGAGGGGTTTGGAGTGGCAAACCCCACCCCCTCCGTGGCTCTTGATGTAGGACTCATCGAAGGAAACACTCAGTTGTGTGTTGGGGTTCCTCTTAGGTTTGGGTGGCGGCACCCTCCTGCAGTCCTCACTGCATCCTTGAGCTGCTAAAGAGATAGAGAGAAAAAAGTCGATACACAAACCCACTGGAGAAAATCACATTCATCATAAGCGCTACCTGATAGAAGACAGTTATACAGTACGCCATTTGTTTTCTGGTTTATTAATTTGTTGACATTTCTGGAATCGTTTATCATCAAGCGAATCATTTTTAATATAAAGCCTACTGCAGGTTTGTGGGCCAGATGCAGGTCAATGTGTATAGCTGGGAGCAATATCTTGAGTCATATGTGGGAAAAGTTGAGGCATATGCATGTTTCTAGGTCAGCTATACGGCAGTGGAGCAGTATGTGAGTATAGTATCTGGGTCACACACACTGTGGAGCTTCTTTTTGATAGTGGTGACGTAGCATTGCAGTGTAAATCTCTTTAGATGTGGTGCAGTGAGGCTATGGTACAGTGTTCACGTTGACTAGATACTACTGTACAGAACGGTCCTAATGCTAGTTTACTCAGAGTAGACAGCCCTCTATACTACTGAGTTGCGCACAGTGTCTAGGTCAGACACTGAGATGTTTGGATAGGAGTGTCCCTTTCTCTGATAGGCAGGGGGAGATAAGTGTAGTTAAGAGCCGGACCATGTCTGAGGTCTTCAAACTGCAGATTTTACACCTTTAATAATTCAGATGCCAGATGGCCCAGACACACGCATACTTCCCGTAACTGTATGACTCACCACCATCGCTACATGCACGCACACACGCACACTGCACATGCCTACACATTCAGAGAAGGAAATTAGGACAGGCATGTACACATTTTATGCCACAGTCTCACAAGCTATGAAGTCAGTCTTCCCAGAAAATGGTAGACTAACTGTGTTTGTGTGTTTCTACATCTGAATGTATAGCTTTGCAGAATATGTTGCAGAAAGTTAGATAAATGGGACTAGATACAAAATATTTGTCTTTTATTAAAGTTTAGAGAACAAGTAGAGAAAAAGCAGTTGATTCAAAGTCAAGAAAATAAATGGCACATTTAATTTTGTTCTTCACTGGTATTTTGCACACCATGCATTTATCCAGGTCGATGATGATGATGCTAATTAGAACTGAGGATCAAACTGTCCTTTTGGTTCCACATTTTTTCCTCATTACCACTAATTAATAAGGTGTTAATACAGGATTTGGTTCAGCCCAGATGTGTTCCTGGTATGTGTTTAACTGGACTGACGTATTCTAGTGTACTCTCTCTGCCTTTCTTTGGGCAAGCAATTGCATATATGTGCGTGCATACAGTAATGTGTACACAGTAGTATACCTATGTCTGAGCAATCACCAAATGCATTATTACATTAACAGGTTTGTATGGTGGATCTGTTTCAGCACTGATGATGAATTTATCCCTCCCAACATCTCTTACTCCCTGTCCCTTCTCTTCCTCTCTCCATTGCTCCCTCTTCTCCCCCTCCCCCTGTAGCGGATGTGTTTACCCGCAACCCCCTCCCCCCTCCCTCTCCTCCTGGGGAAAATGAATCTAGGTCAGTCGCTCCTCCTGAATGAATCCTACTCTGACAAGCTCCTCCCCTTCCTGCTACAGTGCCAGCTACAGAGCACGCAACACTCCCCTCAGCCAGGGACACCCCCACACTCTCACTCTGATTGGCTCACACGCCTCAGACTTCAACATCTCTAGAGCCCCATTGGCTCGAGCTGCTTGGTGATTCTGTGATTGGCTAGGCTGCAGGGGGTCTTGTTTCTGTGGGATGGTTGCCGTGGTGCCCAGGAAGATCTGTGTGCACATGGAGAGATCCCCACCAATCTGAGCCAGGCTGGGCGACTCCCTAAACATCGGCAACGAAGCATCCAAACTGAAATGGAGTCAAAGCTTCCTGCAACCTCTAATTCTTTTTGCTCTCTCTGCCACCTGCCTCAAAGACATTATTATACTCTAAGTGACTGTTTAGTTTTGCAGTGCTTGTTAGTTTTTCTTTGTGCTCAGCACATGTACTATAGGTGATTTGTTTCCTAATAAAAATGTTTAACTGTGTGCATTGTGCATTTGCAACAGGAGTGATTGTATCTGTGGCCTGTTGAGGGAAACGTTCCTTTAGCTCAATTAATTCCTGTCTATTCATTAAAGCTTTTCTTACACTGAGTTGATGTACTATAATTATGCCCTCTTTTTCATCCGTGGCCAAGCAAGCATATTGTGTTTGTTTATTTTGCTTCAGAAAACTGAGTGAAATTGCTGTAGGGTACTTCTACTGGATCTTGATCAAGGCATCTCTAAATGTTGGCCTTGCCAGTTTTAACTGGAAGGAAAATTGTTTGGCCTTTATTGGTAATTTGCCTTGTAGAAATATTAAAGTATGTCAGTTTTAAATTAGGTTATAGAACTGTCAAGACACTTTTTGTGTGCACTCAGAACAGTTTTGAAAATTCCCTGTAACCAGCACAGTACTCTGATCCATCTACTAAGGTGAAGTTACTGGAGCTTCAACTTAATACACAGAACTCCTTACTGTACTAATTATGTCAAGATATTACTCTCAGCAGTAGAAACTGTATTCAAACCTGATCAAGAGACGTAGTGGATATATAACACCTGAGGACTGCATGCAAAAGACTAGATAGGCAATACTGATTACATGAATACATTTTGGTTTCTGCTGTGAAAACTGACAATGTGTCAGCACACACAGCACAAAAACTGAATCAGACATTCATATGCATCACATTTTGATACTTCCATTAATCATACTGGAATGTATGTACAATGGTCCACTGTCATTCAAAGATGCTAAAGAATGTTTTTTTTTCTTCACACAATAGGCAACATGGCAGACTCTTTAAAGTATTCATTCATATGTTGTTTATTCAACTGCAAGCCATCACATTTCATTGTTTTTCTAATGCAATGTTTTGTACTTTTAGTGTATTATTTATTTTATTTGCCACTATGCTACTTCTGGTACTTAGTGTGAAGTATGCAGTGAATAGTTAGATGTCATGTCATTGTAGGAGAAAATGCGTTGAGCAGGGCACTGCAGAGAGCAGCTAAATATAGCGCAGCAGTTTGGTGTGAAATGCCACCACCACTCACCGTCACATCTCTCCCCACGGCAGGTGGATACAGGACTGTGGTCCACCGCCTCAGATGACATGCTCAGCTTGGTGGCCGGGTCCCTCCTGGGCTTGGGTGGGGGCTGCTTCCTAGAGGTCGGGCTTCCCACTTCCTCGTCTCCTCCGCCCCCACTGTTCCCACCGCCGACAGAGTGAAGGGACTGGGAGCGTACAGAGAAGCCCTGCCCACAGGCGAGGGCATGCGGGTGGGGCATTGGCATACGTTCCTGGGGGTCCGGCATGGTAATGGAGCCCATACGTAAGTGCTTGCCTTCAGTTGCTATGTCCTCACCCGTCCTAAAACAGAAAGAGAGGAAGCGAGAGAGAGGTTAGGGAAGATGGATATAGGGTCAAGGAACTGAGATATGTATGATCTATGTAAATATGAATGGTAAATATACGAAATATATTAGTTTACATCATTGGACAAAAATCTTGACCCAAGTTCCTCATCCACAGGAAGTCGTTCCTGCCAGAAGACAGCAAAAATAACATTCCATACCCTGATATACAGAGCTATCATGGCACGTCTCCATTTGTGTGAGCATGTGTATGCGCGCACGTGTATGTACATATATACAATACAATATGTGCATTTCAGTCTGTGCAAGTGACGATGAGAGCGCTAAGTTAACAATAACAGACATGTTAGTGGCACTGAAAAAAGGGTCGCTTTCAGGGCAAAACATTGATTTGAGTTTAACACTGGATATGACCGATGCCGCTCACACAACCAGACACATAATGACACCATGGAAGTCCCCCAGCCTGTACACAATCAATCCCTATAAATGGATGATTGGCCTGAATGGAGCGTTAATGATGTCTGAGTGTTATGTGGTAATGGGGGGAAAGGAGGGCTGTCTATGTGTGTGTGTGTGTGTGTGTGTTTGTGTATAGTAGAGTAAATGAGCTCAAGATCTGACTGTGTTCAGGGAAAATGTTTTTCACTTGATGCATTAATTTATTCTCATATCAGAGAGCCACAATTAAGCTTAAAGTCAGAGATTTGTTTAAACAAATGGTATGAAACAGGATGAATTTGCATGTGTGTCTTCACAAATCTCTATCTTGTGTGTCTGTGTGTATGCGTGTGGATGTGTATGTATGTATGTGTGTGTTTGTGTGACCCCTCAGTGTGTGACTTTGCTGACTCTGATTCCCTCCAGGCCAGCTGCTGAACAGAAGGTGCCTGGTGGGGTGGGTTCATTGGTCAGGGGCTTAACTTTGCCTAGCAACAGGGTACCCATAGAAACCAGACACAAAACCAGCTGCCACCACACAACAATAATAAAGCGCACGTGCACATGGTGTGCATATCATAACCACATCACATTTTCGTTTAAAGGTGACAGTGGTGATACAACAGAAGGTGCCTGCAGCAACCCGTCGAGCCACAATGTTCTTTAAAAGAAATCTGGGGGAAAACAAATATCAATCACATTTAGTGGATATTAATGCATATGCTGCATACAAATATTAATAATCCACCCATGTTTGGGCAAAAATGTGTCTGAAAAAAGTACAAAAATCTTCATCTATGACATTCAGCCACAGGTGTCAAGCAGCACAACAGTCTCTCCCTCTCATATGTTTTGGATGTGCATCTGCTGTGACTGTGTACACGCACACCCATATACACGGGTTTTGTGTGTGTGGGTGGGTGGGTGTGACTGGAGTAGTGGTGGTGACTGGATTATTTATAGGATATTTGCCCAGTGATTGGCTGGAGGACAGACCACAGGTGCACTTGGACCAGTTGGAGTTGACTTGTTGTCGGGCAGCTCTGGTTCACTCACTGTGACACCATGCATGCAACAAGGAAAACAACATCACAGAAAGAAAGAAACAAAACCTGAAAGGAGAAAAAAAGACTATCTGTGAATGTGTGCACAGAGGGTAAAGAAAGAGGAAAGCAGCCGTTTGGAATTTGCAAGCATATGTAAATATAAGTAAATGTAAGTGCGTGTGTGGGGCGTGTGTGTGTGTATTTTTGAATACACTTGCACGTTTAACTAAATCTGTGGGCATCTGTTTGTGCATGTGTGTAAGACTGTGTGAATGAGTTCTTCTGATCAAATACAATAAAAGAAATCCAGAGCGAGTTCGCAGCAGGCAGGAAGGCCCGCCTTACTCAAACCTAGCGTGCTGTTCTGATTGGCTTATGGCTGTTCCAGCTGTCACCAGGCAGAACACATCTCCTCCAACTGAGCTCACACTTAATCTCTCTCTAACAGGTTTTTTTTCTCCTTCTTTTCCCCCACTCTTAAACACATTTGCTCTAACAAGCTCTTTCACCCTCACACAGCCACAAAGGCCATTTGTTCTTTCCCACCGTTTCTCACAAAGCAATATATTCTATGTTTCCTGTTGTTCATGTCCATGCATGCACATGTACACAAGCATGCATGTACATGCCTGCGCACACGCAAGTGCCGGCATGCACACATGAATCCTCACACTCTCAGTCAGTTACTGTAAAAATGGGTCGTCTCATTGACCTACTTATAGGCCTCATGAAAAATCCAGTTATTTTTTAGACTCTTCCTCAAGTGACTGTGTATTAATATTTTAGCTACAGCAACAGCTGAGAGACACTGGAAGGATAGCAAAACAGTAGATGCCACTTTCCTCAGGCATCGCCCTGTCCCATTCACCAAGTTACTGTACGGGACTGCACCAGACTACTAATAAGGATGAAAGTGCAGAAATTTTGCTGGCAAGTGATAAAAGAGAGCCAGGATGAATTTCAAAGTGTTTTTTAGAACTATAACTTAGCTGTCTTCCTGATTCCTGAGGTATAAAGTTGAACTCTGAGTCAACTTTGACTGTGCCAGCGATACACAATATGTACAGCATACTGTACAATGCGCTGACAATCACAGTAGCAGTGGAGAGTAACAGCTCTTTTGGAATCGCACGACCCTTTGACAGGAATGTCACAGGGTTCAGAATGTTCCCGAATAAATCAGTTAAGAAGAATCACATCTGGTCGCACATAAATGCTCAGCCTCCGATCAATGTAATCATCTCATGCACAGCTAAAACTCACAACAGCTGCTAAAATACCGACCGGACACAAATGATTTTTTAGATGACATGACAACATTTCCCATAAGCCTTTCCGCTGACGTCAACAAGTGCTTCTTTACTATATGATTTGTATTCTTGCAGATAAAATATGCATCCACTTGATTGATGTCCTTTACCTATGATGAGTATTTTACATTTTACTATGAAAATGATTGTAATAAAAAAAAAGATTCATTTGTCCTAAGACTTGAAAAAAGTGATATTTTTCCATGTTATAGTATAAAATTAAGCACCTAAGCAGATTGATGATTTATGACTTAAGTTCAGTGGTCTTGAAGCAAGGCTCAAATCATTGTTTGACACTAAAAAATTTAATACAAAGCCCACAAAAAAATAAGGTTCTGCTCTAAATTTTTGGGGAAATAAAGCATCACAATTGTCCATGTTATCGCACCAACACATTCCAAACCTATATGCAATGTTCTGTTATCAAGCCAATGACTCTGTGACTCAGTATTCGGTATTCTACCCCACAACGCAGCCACGCCGTATCCACGTGCCTGTCACGTTGTGACTGCGTGCCTCTTATTCGCTCAAGTTTTGGAATGCCACACAGTGGTGTTGCTCTGCACAGCGGCACCGCTTTAACTGCTTGCTCATCACAACATGTGAAACAGGGTACAGCAGCACATCAGTTAATTGGAAAAAACACATTATCTCGAACTCTAAGGGGTGTTACAACAACTTCTTGACAATGACATTGATGTTCTACACAGTTGTAGAATACTTTTCCGACCAGTTAGATATATGTAAATCACAATAGCATAAACAGAAGTCTCTTAACGTGTCTCACATCCTAACACACTTTCTGTCACAGCCCAACCCCTTCCTCAATTCTCTCCATCTCATAAATGGAGCAGCGACGACCTCCATCCAAGGACAAGTCCTAAATAAGTCGGAAAGTGAAAAATTAATTATCCTCTATAGATCATGGGGTGCACCAGTCCACACTGGCAACCCCCAAAATATGGCAGCCTGCCATTGCCACAGGGACCCTCTGGCCACTTGTCCCAATTCCTTACAACCTCTTCCTAAAGTGAACCCAGTGACATCCCTGCATGTGTGCTGTAGCAAGTAGTGAGTCTACTTCATAAAATGCTGTCATACCACTAGCTTATTCTATTCTATTTTCTCTTTGTCAATGAGTCTGTTACTTTTCTACTTTTGTGAAGCTCTTTATTTGTTTGTTTTCTTCTTACCTCCTTATGGCTTCCTCCTGTTTTCTCTTCTTGTCGTTTTTTTCCTGCAAGAATGTCCTATTTCTCTCATTCCTGGCGTGGTCCAAGTTCTGAGCTACCAGGCCGTTGTAGGCTCTCAGCCCATTCTCCTCAACATACTGGAAAAAACGGAGAGTTTCTTCCTCTTTGGAGCTCATCATTCTTCAAGTGTTTCCACAGCATTCTGATAGAGACATAAAGAAAATGTTAGTGACAATTGTTTGTCTTAAAGAGATACACAAAATACTAAATATAAAACTATTTATATGGACTACGAGGGCACTTGATAAGACCATGATCTGAATGCTAAACTAGCATGCCGTTATGCCTGTAATCACTCTCTCAACGTTTATTTTTCAAGGTCAACCTTGTTTTAGATGAAAACAGATGAAGCACGATTGCATCAGCAACATAATAGTGTCACATGAAGTTTGTGTGATGTTGCTATTGTTTTTATTGTCCCTCATTGTGGAGTTCATGGCCTACATATATAAAAAATTCATAGACTTGCATCATGCCTGTGCCCACAAGAGTAAACATTTTCCCTGGAGGGTTGCAACATCTTTCTCTATTCTCCATTGTGCACACGTACATACACAAACATACACAAGCACAAGTAAATATGCAAACAGTCAAGGGACTCACTATGTAGCTGCTGTTACTCATAACCTTCAGTTTCAGTTGTCTTATTGGCTGCGGATCAGTGGCGGCTGATCATTTTCTCAGTTGTGTTTGCACATTTTCTGGCTGAAATTATTGGCTGTAACCAAGTGAGTGTCTGAATGAAACTGAAAAAGGCCTTTCATCTTCTGCAGTTGTAATATGTGCTGGACTCAGATGTAAAAATATTGCACTCCTGGGACCAACCACACATATTAAGTGTTCCAATCTTACAAGACTGTGATGCATGGTTTTGCATATGCGGATATCAGCATCAGTCTTATGTTTAAGATCTAAAAATAATCCTCCTCCCTCCGCCTTTTGATTCTTTTAAACAAAAATGCTATTACGGACAGCATCATTGTCAGAAGAAAGGGTGAGAATGTTTTTGTGAGGAAAAGCCTCTTCAATGAAACACACACATTGGTGCATTCATACTATGATTAACTGCTTCTGTATGGGAATCAGTATTGTTTGCAATCACTTAAGATCCAAACACAGCACGGAGCAGCTAATGATGTGACTCAGTGTGCATGCATGTACAGTATGTATTAGCCTGAAAAACATGTGCAACTGCATGCAACATGGTATATTCTATGTGCAACAGCCGGGCAGTGGTGGAAGAGAAGAAGACATGCTTTTATGTAGGTCAATGTTTTCAGATCAGCCTAAGACTCATGCTTGTTTACGTGTGAGAGATGCACTGAGTGTGAGTGTGCTAGGGGAGGGGGGAGGGGGCTTGTGATA